TGGTTTCTATATCGTGGACTTTTCAGATTTCTTGTCTGCCTGGTCCCTAGGCACCATGTTGAGTCCGCATGGATTCAAGGAAACTGTCTTCTAAAAACGCTACAGTGGAACATAAACGACACACATTGACCTCATACATCCGGACATCTTACATAAAAATAAGGAGGAGACAGGCCTACTGAGAGGTCAGCTGTTTAAACCAGAACAGACTGAATGTGATTTAAAGGGACTGATTAAATTTATTAGACTGGACTATTTAGAATTAAATTGAACATTTAATGAATTCTGTACCGACTCACACCCTAACTGATAGCAAGGTTTGGGGGAAAAAATAGAAGAAAGAAAGAAAGACTGGGGAAGAGGGAGGAAGGAAAAAAGGAAAGGAAGGGAGGGATGGAGGAAAGAAAGAAAGAGGCAGGAAGGAAAGAAAGTCATTTTCGCACGTCTGAGTAGCAGTGTCCGTTATTTGTGTGATTCTTCTGCAATACACCATACTGTACTACGTAAAATCACAAGGTGGCTTCTTAAATTATATTCAGCCTCGACTGTCAAACACCGGGACAGGCTGGGAGGAAAGAGGAGGAAGACACTGGGTTCATTCAAACCTGAGACGTAGGTGCAGGGTAAGAACTAAGCACATTCATTCAGCACAGGGTAGCCCAGGGCAGGGTTGGGGCAAAGGAATGGATCCAGCTATGGTGGGCTCTCTGTTCCAAGTAAGGCCCCTCAGTAAGCATTGTGGGTAAAGGAAAGAGGAATAAGCCTTATCTTAACTGTATCATTCCATCTTATGCTACAATTGTATTGGTTAGATATTTTTTAGGAAAATAAAGGAGATCCTACTTAATAATTAATTGCTAGGAATATTCTCAGCCTTAGTGTAAATTGTGAAATAAGATCAGATAAGCTTCTGGTAAAAAGCTGGTTCAATTATAATAAATAAATAGAAAAGATATGGAAAATAAATGAAACAGGCTTTTGTTAAAACAAGAATGTATTGAAAATGGACAAAATAGTCAGTTTGTGGGAATTCCAGCCCTTCCAGGCTGAGTGTGCAATATTTCAGTGTGGATGGGAGGGAGGAGAATGGTGCTTTCTCAGTAAAGTCCTGGCATTGGGCAGGGAAGGGGCCCCTGAGCACCCTACCCTTCAGCTGGGAATCTGGATAAACTAGGAAGGAGATGTGGCAATCAACAGCTCTGTCAGAGTCTACTGTTGCAAAAACTACTGGTATACCCTGTTCAACTAGTTGGGAGCTCTGAGAAAGGAATTTTGGTATGTGGATTCTCTAATTAGAGTAAGTAACATCTCTGTGGGTTGATTTACGCTTCTCCTGTAGGATTCCTAAACATCAGCTTGATGACTGTTTCCTTTCATAACCATTTGTATCTCATGTGAATGAGTGAGATTTTGAAGAAACATTGTTTTCTTGTGGTTTACATGATAATGAAGAGAGAAGCTTTCACTTAAATCTCATTTATAGGGCACTTAGGTGTTAGTCACTGTTCTGAGTACACAGAACAGTGGGATCAAAGATATTCTCCTCGACATCAGTGCTCTCTGGGCTGATGCTCCTCTAAGGAGGATAAACCCAGGCCCATCGTAACTCCTCCATGCAAGTGAAGACCAGGCTGTAACACATAAACAGACTTTATTGAGGGCTTCAGGAGAGTAAAATGGAATCACAATGTAATAAAGGAAAACTTTTAACTGGCTATGAAATGTGACTTCTTCTGAAAGTCATGGGCTGTCCCTACCTACCCCACTCCTTTTAGCCCCCGACTTCCTACTGTTTTAGGAGGAGCCTACTCTCCTGACAGGGATGCCTGTGACCATGAACATCACCCCGCAGAGTTCAGCCTCCCCAAATCCTCTGAGGCCCAGTGAGAGGAGGAACTTGCCTCCCCCTGGCTCCAGCCTAAGGCAAACTTTCCAGGAGACATAATCTACAGACAACTTCACCCACAAGGGTAACAATTTCTGACTGTTAATGGAGCAGTTTAGTTCTGCTCTGTCTTGAATCTCTCCACTACCGAGTTGCACCTTAACTTTTCCTTTCTGCAAGCCCACACTGAGTTTTTCTTTTTTGTTTTTTTGAAGTCAGGTTTATTGAGAGTTAATATACAGATAGTAAAACTCACTCATTTTAGTGTACAGTTCTGACTTTTGACAAACACACAATTAATGTTATCACCACCTCAATCAGAACATAGGACTGTTCCTTCACCCAAAAAAGTTCCTCATGTCCTTTTGTGGTCAGCCTCCTTACACACTCAGCCCCAGGCAAATACTGACCTGTTTTCTGTGTCTATAGTTTTGCTTCTTTCAGAACGTCAGGTAGCTTTTATATCTGATTTCTTTCATTTAGCATAATGTGACTGAGATTCATCTATGTTGTTAAGTGTATCAGAAAATTCGTTCCTTTTATTGCTGAGTCCTTTTCCATTGCATGAATGTAGTACAGTTGATTTATCCATTCATCAGCTGAAGAACATTTGAATTATTTTCAGTTTTTGATGATTATGAATAAAGCGACTGTAACATTTGCATATAGGTCTTTGAATGAACATAACTTATCATTTCTCTTAAGTATCTAAGAATGGAATTACTGAGTTGTGTGATAAGCATATGCTGAACATTATATGAAACAGTAAATTGTTTTCCAAAGTGTTTGTACCATTTTGCATTCCTACCAACAATGTATGGGAATTCTAACTAGTCTGTATCCTCCCCAGTACTTATTACCAGTTTTTGTGGGTTTTTTTCGATCTTATTCATTGTAACAGATGTGTACAGGTATCAGCGTAGTTTTTTAATGACTCATGAGCATCTTTTCATGTGCTTATTTGCCACCCGTATCTCTTTTTGGTGAAACATCTTTTCAATTCTTTAGCCTATTTATTTATTTACTTGTTTGCTTTATTGCTGGGTTTTGAGGATTCCTTACATATTCTAGATCCAAGTCCTTTATCAGAAATAACACTTTGCAGATATTTTCTCCCAAGCCTGTAGTTTGTCTTTTCATTTTCTTAAATAGTTTGTCTTAGTCAGCTCAGGCTATAATAAAACACCATAGCCTGGGTGGCTTAAACAGCCGACAGTTATTTCTCACAGTTCTGGAGGCTGGGAAGTCCAAGACCAAGGTGCTGGCAGATTCACTTCCTGGTGAGGGCTTGCTTTCTGGCTCATTGTGAGGGGAGAGAGATCAAGCTCTTTTTCTCTTCTGATAAAGGCACTAATCTCATTATGAAGATTTCACCTTCATGACCTCATCCAAATCTAATTACCTCCTAAAGGCCCCCAATCAAACTGATTCGGGGGGGGGGGAAAGGCCTGCAACATATAAATCTGTAGGGAGATAACAATTCAGTCCACAGCAGTTGTCTCTCAAAGAGAGTAACTTTTAAGTTTTGCTGCAGTCCAAATGAACAATTTTTCTTTTATGATTTTGATATCATACCTAAGAAATCTACGCCAAACTCAAGATCACAAAGATTTTCTCTTGTATTTTCTTCTAGAAAATTTATACTTTCAGCTGTTTTTATGTAGGTCTACAGTCCAATTATTATACATGGTGCCAGGTATAGATCAAGGCTCCTCTTCTCTCTTTTTTTTAACATTTGTATGTCACATTGTTCTAGCTTCATTTTTTTTAAACGCTATCTTCTCTCTGTTGAATTTCCTTTGAAAAATTTTCAAAATCAATTAACCATAAATATGTAGGTATATTTCTGGCTTCTCTATTTTTTTCCATTGATCTATGTGTCTGTACATTTACCAATACTAATCTCCTGATTAGTGTGGCTTTCTCCTAAGTCTAAAATCAGGTGGTGTGAATCGTCCAAATTTTTTTCTTTTTAAAAATTAAAAAAGTATTTTTTAGTTCTTTGCATTTCCATACAAATTTTAGAATCTGCCTGTCAATTTAACTTAATTACCTCTTTAAAGACCCTGTCTCTAAAAACAGTTATATTCTGAGGTATTGGGGGTTAGGATTTCAACATGTAAACTTTGGGGGTACATGATTCAGCCCTGACAATCATTAAATATGTGTTAGTTGTAGGTCTTTGAAAATACCTTAGGTAAGGTTGTTAAAATTCCCTTTTATTTCCAGTTTTATTTTTTTTAAATCTTGAATGAGTACTGAATTTCGTCCATATATTCAGCATCTAGTAAGATGATTGTTATGTTTCCTTTTCCCCACTTTCATATGGTGAATTACATTAACTGAGTTTTCAAATATTAAGTCAGCCTTGCGTTTCTGTGAATAACCCCATTTGGTCATGATATATTATCCTTTTCAGATGTTGCCAATTTTTACTTGGGACAATATTATGGAGTATCTGTGGTGCACAACACATTGAACGCTGTGTTTCTGGGTGGAAGGAGAGATGCTGTAAAAATGTTTACTCAGTCTTCATTTACCATAACATGCAGAATAAGCATATTCAGAATATGCAGGCAAATATGAGAAATAACAGAGTTAAAAGTGAATGGAAGCAGTGCTGGAAGGTAAATTTGTTCTTGCTATAGTTTTTGTAGCATTTGACATTTTAAATTATGTCCACCTTACTTTAGAAGTAAAACTTAATGTATATTAATTTTAAAAATCCTCCCCGTACAGAAACTAGTCATTTATTTTCGGTTTGTTTTAATAACAACTCCAATTCAACTGGGTTTTTTTGGTTGTTGGTGGTGGTGCACAGTGTGCAAACACCTGGACCAGTGTTTATTTTTCCTCCTAAATAGGTAACGGATTGGCCCCAGCATCATTTATTGATTAGTCCTTAATTTTCTTCCTATGATTTGTTTATACTGTTATTTATACCAGGGTGTTTCTGTACTATTTGTCCTTGCTCTGGTACCGCACTGATCTGAGCTATAGCCGAGTGAGTTTACTGTAGCCAAGCTCATTCAAAAAAAATAATAATAATAATAATAATAATAATAATAGGTGTTCAAAAGCACAGAGGTTTATAAAAGTAGCTGGCCGAAGGAATCTGAGTAGATAAAAAATGAATGTTGAAAGCGCAACAGCCAATGATATTAGTTTAAAAGAAGCCCTTAACGCGCAGTCCCTCGGGAAGAAACCACCTTCACAAGCTGAAACCCCTAGGTGAGACAGAGACACCCGCCACAAAGGCCCGGCGGCGGAGGGGGCCAGGGTCTCTGGTTTGATTTGACGGCCCGCACCTGCGACGGCCCAGGGGGCGGGGCGAACGCCACCTCCCGCCGAGGCCAGCCGGGTACTCTCGCGCGATGTCGGGCGGCGCGGAGGCGCGGGGGCGAAGGCCGGGCGTCGGGGTAGGAGTAGTGGTGACCAGCTGCAGGCATCCTCGCTGCGTCCTTCTCGGGAGGAGGAAGGGGTCCTTCGGAGCCGGCAGTTTCCAGCTTCCCGGGGGTCACTTGGAGTTCGGGTAAGCAGCCGCCCGGCTGACTAGGAAAGCGGAACGTGCACGGAGGGGCGACCTCGCTCACGGCGTGCGTCCGTGCGTGCGTGCCGACGCCGCGTCGTCTCTCGCGCGTCCCTCTTTTCTCCCTCGGGCGGGGAGGGGGCGCTGCGCCGGTTGAGGCTGGCGGAGGGCTCGCCTCGCTCCCTGTGAACTGCGCCTGCGCCGCCCGCAGCTCCTCGCCGGACCTGGCGTGGCTGGGACTTGGTTCGTCAGGTGTGTTTTTTTCCCCTCAGTGCTCGCTCTTGAGGGAGGGAAAGTGAGTGTTTATAAACCTTGAGCGGTCCAGTCGTGTCAGTTAACACATTCGCACGGGTTGCTGGTGGTATAAACGCTTGCGGATATGTTTAGTGTTTCCTGCTCCCGTAAGTTTAGTTGCGCTTTAACCAAACGAATGGGCCAGTGAAACTCTGGGCCTCAGTGTCTCTGTCTTGAAAATGGGGAAGTTAGACGGACTACTCGTTGAGGTCTCTCTCTGCTTTGGCGTTCTGTGATATGATGTATGGATCAGACTGACGAAGTCCGTCCTACACAGGAGCGAAGAAAGCCTGGAGTTGTGCTAGAAGATGGATTCATCTGGGCCTTGGCCTCTTAATCAATAGAAGTTGATGGGCTGGAGGAGAAATTCAGGCAAGGCTTTACTGGGGCTTGTGCTGCAGGCATGGCGAGCTGGTTCTTTAAATGGGGTGAAGTAAGGTGGTTGGCGTTTGAGCAGGAGGTCTAGCTTAGGTGATCTGCCCACTCCCTTGGTGGTGCTGTGTGCAGGGGTCATGCACAGTGCCCTGCTTTTGCTCTCAGCTCCACAGAAATGACAGTTGATTTGTGGCCTTTTGTATCTTACCGTTCATAGCTGCCTCAACTGCGCATGCATACAGTTATTTTAAGTCCCTTTATAGTTGCTTTGTATCCTATTGCTCCAGGAGACCTCTGTCCAGGTGCAGCCACTCTGGTAAAGGGTCCGAGGTCCCAGCCTTTCTCAAAGTGAGAATAAGGATAAAGTTAGCAGCAGATAAAGAGGATCTAAAGCGGGCAGACCCAGAGCTTGTTTTCCCTTTTTTATTGAAAGTTTCAAACATACATAAAAGTAGAGAAAAGAGTGAATCCTCATGTACACATTGCTCAGCTTGTTCTTGCTTCATCTTTACTGCTCTTCTCTCCCTTCAAACACACCCGCCTTGTTTTCTAGACTATTTTAAAGGAAAATTCAGGCATGTTAGTATATCACCCTTAAATAGTTCAGTACGTAACTGTAATAGGCTTTTCTAAAAATGTAACTGCAATACCATTTTCAAACCTTAAAATAATTCTTCAATAACATCTGATACGTAGTTTGTACCATTTTCCCTATTTGTCTTGAAAATATCTTTTTACCATTTTGTACCACTCCAGATCAAAGGAAGGGCACATGTTGCATGTGATCGATACCTTTTTTAAGTCCTTCAATCTTAACAGAAACTGCTCTCCCTCTTCTTCCCATGCCATGTTGAATATGGGTCATTTGAAGAATTTCTCACATTCTGACTATATTCTTCTAAACCACTTATTATAAAGTGATTATTAGGAATAGAGACTTGATCCTAGTGCCTTTTAATCAAGATTTTGATCTTTATGGAATTCTTCCAACACATGGAATTTTTTTAACTGTCTTCAGAGCTTTTAAAAGCATAAGTTTATCATTTTAGATAATTAAGATAAGCTATCATTTCATAAATAATGAAATTTCTAGATTAAAAATCAAATTGTCCAGACAGGTACACCGTATTGTACTTTGTCAGTTGTTGGGGAGCATTAAGCCAAACTTAGAGCACAAACTAAGCACTGTTTAGAGTGTATAATTACTAGAGCAATGGTAGAGATAGCTTAATAATAGCACAAGAAGATGCTGGTGTCTTGACTCATATATTGATAGTGGCTCAGAATGATAATGGCCAAAATGGAACTTTAATGGTCTTTTTCTTAAGTACTAGATATTATTCTAAGCTCTTCACATGTATGCTTTCACTTATCTTTGTGTAACTGGTAAACTGAGTGGACTAAATTGATGAGAAACAAACAGGAAATGGCTTTATTTTCTCCTTCCGTTGTCTTCAAACGTAATTGGTCTTTCCCTTCTCTGCTGCTCCATGATATTTTCTGCAGGTTCCTTTCTTTTTTTTTTTTTTCAGTTTTTCTTAAATTTTATTTTATTGAGTTATAGTCAGTTTACAATGTTGTGTCAACTTCCAGTGTAGAACACAATTTTTCAGTCATACATGAACATACGTATATTCACTGTTGCATACCCTTTCAACGTGAGCTACCACAAGATCTTGTATATATTTCCCTGTGCTATACAGTACAATCTTGTTCATCTATTCTATATATATCTGTCAGTATCTACAAATTTTGAACTCCCAGTCCATCAGTAAAAGTTATTTTTAAATGACTTCATCCAGAACACAGAAAAGAAGCTTATTCTTTGTTTTAAAGCTATGGACTTAAGTATATCTCAATTAAATTTACCTTTGTTCTTATTTATTTAAACTTTCTATATCTGTAC